ATGATTTTAGAAAAAATAATGTTTATGATGGACATCCTTTTAGATGGTATCAAAGATGGTGGTAACTGTCAGTCCACATAGTGTTTAGGATTCTGCTGATGCTGGTAGGGTGGTAATGTCATCTAGATATCCCTCTGTCTGGTCTGGTCCCCTCTAAGATCAGGACGACAAAGACCCCAGATACCAAGAGACTAGGTGTGTGTGGAAACCGTGAATAGTGAAGCTTGCTGTAGTAGCCGCCGTATGTTCTTTCTTTTCATTTGTGTTTCATTGCACCTTTCCCCACATAATCTTTGTTTTAAGGATCCTGAAAGGGAGTTATTGGTGGAATAGCTTATCACCTTTTTTTTTTTTTTTTTTGGTCAACTGATTAAACCTAATATCTGACACATTCATTCCAGCTCATTAACTTGTTCCATATCTCACTTTTTTTTAAAACAAGCATAATTTCATCATAGTCCTGGAACTATATCAACTTGGCCTTTTTATTTAGATTAATTCAGTTATTCTGTCTCATACCTTTTTCCATCAACATTGTTGTTATAGGTTATTGTACCATTTAATGAATGTTTGTAAACTTCTTACATTTGAGCTCGCAATTTTTGTAGGCCCAATTATCACAACATTATACCAACCGTTCATGGAGTATTACAAGGGACTCAAAGACCTCTGAATGCTGATTTGAATTACAAGATTGGAATAATTAAAATTAATTTTTTACATATATCATCCAGAGGATCAAGCTAACCATAACTATCTGGATCAACACATTTAAATAGCTAGTTGTGACAAAGGGAGGGTTTGCACAGCACAGTGGGGTCCTAATTTTCATTGTGGCCAATGTTTCCTCTGAACTGCTCACATATGTGGTGTCACAACATTCTTGCATACATGACACATGACACAAACCATGCCCCCCATTTAGTCCATAGATGGTCATAGTCCATGGAAGGCTCACATACTGCCACGGTTGGGGTTTTGACCCACATCGGACAGCGAGAGACGGAGGTTGAAGAGGGCTTTACCTTGGAGGGGTGGGAAGTGGAGACATTATTGGGAAGGGTGAGGGAGGAGTGAGGAGCACTCATGCCACTGCTGTCAGTTGGGACATGCTGCACTAACAAAAGACACAGGAGTTTGACTACAGCATGAGGCTGACAGTCTCCACTTTCCCAGGCAGGTTGGACTCTGCCACTAGCCCTTCTCTGCAGGACTCCCAAGACAGGAGCTGTGTAGCTTCACGGTTGGCAGTAGCTGCAGCAGTAACGGGATACAGAGGCAGCACGTTCACCATCCCTAAGACAGCAGGTTAGTCACCCCCAAACTAGCAATGATGCCCAGAGTGCAGCAAACAATGTCCAAGTTCCATTCCCGGGTGGAGGGAAAGTGCCCCCGTGGCCCCGCCCTGAGTTATGGCTGATTCTCTCATTCTACAGAGAGGATGTTTTTTTCACAACAGAGTACCCTGAGTTCATTTACACTCAAATTCTTAGCTTTTAGGATTGTGACTGACTGGGGGAGTCTGTGTCAGGAGAGCTAATGGGCAAATAAATTAATAATCAATTCTTGCCTTGGATTTTTGCAACAAAATTTGTCAACTCCATTGTTTTTTATTTTGGGAAATAATCTTTGGGAAATAAAACAGTGGACATGATCAAGTCTCTTGAGAATGAATTGTATAGCCACTGTGCTGCTCATTATAGAAGAGGAAACATGATTCTAAATGAAAATGACTCCCTCTTTTATATGGTGTTTCCAAAAATGTTTCCAGCTGTTTAAATGACTGATGCATTTTCCTTTGTTTTTCTTTGAGGAACTTTTATTTTCCAACAAATACACTATGGGTTTTTCCAGAAAGATCTCGGATTACTGGGAAAAAAATGTGTAACTCCCCTTAAATAGCAAAACCACTATAACTCTTATCCAGATTTCACCACTGGAGCTTCCAAACTGACTACCCAAAAATGGTTTTTGTTAATTTGGTATCTTGGAGTGATATTTTAATCTAAAGTTGTGCTGTATTCTTGATTTAACTGCTATAAAATAAAATTATAAACCTTACAATGGAGGGAGCATATTCTTCTGTGTGCAGAGTGTCTAACATGGTGGGCCCCCAGCTGGGTTACTCCCCCCCGAAATGATCCGCTGCCATGCGTACAGTCTCTTTTAGGCAGTTTTATTGTCTCAGAGTTAAGCAAAACAATCAAAAACAGTTCTTCAACTCACCTTGAGCCATTACTCCCAGAGGATTTTTTTCCCTCTTATTTTGCAGGCTCTCACTGCCTCCCCTCCCAGGGAATTTCCAGCTGCTTCTTGCAGGCTCCTGGCTCTGACTCACAATGTGTGTCTCCTCTCTTCTAGGTCCACGTGCCCCCTCTTAAAGCTCATTTGGTTCAACTGAATGCACTGGCTCTGCTCCCACTGAAAGCATGAACAAGCATTAATATATGAATTTGCCACAGTCTCAGGTAGATTTTTTAAGCTGAAATCTAACTGACTAAATTCACTGATACATACTAAAATCCAAGATGATAGCCCCTTTTTCTTTGAGTGATGGTCCTGTGGGTATTTCGCACATGGTTGCCCATGCGTGTTATGTGCCTGAGTCAGAAGTGTTTCGTAGCAGTGTCTGTTGACCAGCATGTGCATAGCATATGTCTTTGTACTCACAACTGAAGGTATAGTAGGTAGTCAGGGTTCCCTCTTACCGCTACATTGTATGAGTCAGAACACTGATCCGTCAGGCTCTTCGTTTTTTTTTTTCTAAAAAAGTGACTTCTGATTCAGTGTTGATAGTGGTACATGGTCTTTTTCTGGTGTGGAGACAAGTTAGTGCAATTTCCCTGTGGAGGGGCCATCTCCCCGCCTGGGGACAGTGCCCCAGATTACACCTTTAAAAAACTGTTGCCTGCTTGTGCTCATTCTCTGTGAGCAACAAGCACCAGCAGTTCCTCTCTGCCTCAGCAAGGCACTCATCACCGCTCACTGCTCTGACTACAAGTCCTTCCTGGGCCCAGGCAGCTCAAGAGCTTCCCCTCTGTAAATACTTTGATGAAAGAAGCTGTGAGACCAAGGGCACTCTCGAGTCCAGCCCAGGAGACTCTCCTGCACAGCAGCCATTACCAGCGGTGAGCCCCCTCCCAGCATCCTGCATGCCCCAGTACCAACAGTACCGAAGGACAAGTCCCAGCATGAGAATAAAAAACTCTCTCTTGGGTACAGGAGCAGATTCCTGCAGTGGACTGCTCCCACCATAGCCTTGCCTTCTCCAACCCATCATTAGTTGAGTGAGGTATTTCGCATGGAACCAGCTGGACCTGCTCCCAACTTTCCCTGTGGGGGGAGGGTACAGCCTGGCAAAAGCAAGCTCAGTACTCAGGCATTCAGAATGCTCACTGGCCACCCATTCCTCTGGTATCTCTGTGCCACCCACACAGGCCAACTCCTCAGATGCTGCCAGGCCGCGCTGTTACTTCCATGGGCACATTGTGGGCTTCTGGGCACTCTGAGCCTTTCCTATTGGCCAGGAGCTGACCAAAGCCTACCCACCGCCTCCGCTCCTGCCCAGCCCACCATTCACCTATGGTGCTCCCACTGCAGAGGATAAGCTTCTTCTGCTCTTCCTGGAGAAGCCCACTCCGTTGCCATGCTGCAGCCCTGAGGTACTGATGAAGATGATTCCAGCAAGGGAGGAACAAGAGTGAAAGGAGCTCTTGGAGCCAGAACTCTTTTTCCTGGGTGCCTCAGTGGAGTCCAGACATAGCAGCCTGGGCTTTGCATCTCCCCACATATAATCCAGGACTGGAGGCCTGGTACCACTATTGTGGGGCCCGCCCACAACATTCTTTTTAGCTGTTCTGAAGACCTTGGGATCCCCACCACAGACACCAACCACCATCACAGGCATCCTACCGGCCACCCCCCTTGTCTGGCATTATTGATTTATGTTATACGAGCTAGATCTCAAACTGGTACCGCCAGCTCCACCAGTTCCCACTGTTGCCGCCTCCTTGCCAGACAAGGCATTTGTTTAACTCCTGCTCTCTCTGCAGGACAACCAGTGCTTACCAGGACTTGCTCCGGAGGATAGCAGCAAACCTGGGTATCCTGTTGAGGGTGGTTCAGGACCTATACTCCATATCAACTCCTGGACAGCCTCTTACCCTAGGGGTAGCTCTCCCCTTTAATGATGCCATTCTCCAACCAATGTGGACAGCTGAGAAAATGCTGACAATCCCTGTTGTGGGAGAGTGTAGAATGCATAGGTGGTAGAAGTAGGAAAGAATGCATGAAACAAAGAGTGAGAAAAGGAAAAATGTGATGCAAAATGCATCTTTGCTTGTTCTATGAAAGATGTGGCAACAAGGCATCTGACTATTTTAAAATGTTTATTGGCAAAATGTTGGAAAATCCCTTCTCTCAATGCCAAGTGTTTATTAACCTGTTGCTAGGAACTGATCCAAGCAAGATGTGGCAGATACACAAGACATGAAAAGAAGATTATTATCTTAAGCATTAGAGCATTCACTGAATCAGGGAATTGAGACCGAAATGCTCACAGAAGGAACACAGCATATAAAATGAATTAAGAAACGCTGTGGGAGAAAAGACCATCAATGTACTCCGGGAGAGGAAAGCAGGCGATAAAAGATAAGGAAGCATAAATATGCCAGAGTACTGAATGTCGGCCCTTGTGATCTTCCTTTGTGTCTAAGATTTGTTTACTTATTATGTACACCAGGCCTCTTCTTCAACAGATGGCTTTTTGCTGTGGGCTTGGATTCTCTCTGGCTTTGCCTAACTATGAAAACATTCAGATGTGTTTTTAGAAGGAAGAAGTACCCAAATTATCTACTAAAAACAAAAATGTATAAACTAATAGCAAAAAATTATGACAAAGATAAATAGGCTAAACAACTCATTTTTCGGCTTGCATGTAGTTTCAGAACAGAGGTGATTATTTCACTATCACCCTTTAAAATCAAGAGCACCCCCCCACACTTCAGTAGTCAAATACCATTGTTGTTTGTAACGTGACGAGCCAGAAGACCCATTATCTACATTATGACTATTTCAATTTTTAACTTCTAATAATGTGCTCCCAAAATATAGTTTCTGCCCATAGGCAAGTATTTATATTTCTGTTGTACAGATGGAGAAAAATGAATGTCAGAGAAGCTAAAGGAAAAAATTTGCAACCCTATTTGGTAATGTTGAAAACATTAAATGTTTAAAATAACTATTATGAAATACTTTTCTGTGGCTCTCACCTTGGCTGGGCAGCTGCCATCTTCTAAGATAGAAACCTAAACAAGGGAGTGGGTTAGTTGCCCAACCATCCCCCACATTGTTTTCATCATACCCACACATGCCACAGGAAGAATTTGAAATGCTAGTAAATAAACACAACTATGGCGTAGTTGGCATCGCAGAGACTTGATGACGATAACACGCATGACTGGAATAGTGGTATAGATGGGTACAGCTTGCTCAGGAAGGACAGGCAGGGGAAAGGGTCGAAGTGTTGACTTATGTACACTCTTAGACTGATGTTGAGATGGAAATAGGAGACAGACTTGTTTAGAGTGCCTTGGTATGAATAAAAGGGAGGAAAACAAGATGGGGATCAACTAAAGACCACCTAATCGGGGGGGGGGAGGGGAAAGGCTAATAAAATCATCCAAAGCACAGGACTTAGTAATGATGGGGGACATTAGCTATCCAGACATCTGTTTGCAAAGTAACACAGCAGTGTACAGATTATCCAACAACTTCTTGCACTGTATTTGAGACAATTTTTTTATTTCAGAAGGTAGCAAAAGCTACTGGAGGAAGACTATTCTAGATTTGATTTTTAACAAATGAGGAACTGCTAAGGATTTGGAAATAAAAGGCAGTTGGGTGAAATTGATCCTGAAACGGTAAAAGAATTATTCTAAAGAATGGTAGAAGGGAGAACAGCAAAACAAAGACAATGGATTTCAAGAAGGCAGACTTTAGCAAACTCAGGGAGTTGGTAGGTAAGTTTCCACGGGAAGTAAGTCAAGAAGGAAAAAAATTTGAAGACATTTGACAGTTTTTCAAAGAGACATTATTAACAGCGCAACAGCAGCAAAGCATAGAAATGATAGGAAGCATGGCAAGAGACTACCTTGGCTTAACCAGGAGATCTCGAATTATTTAAAAATCAAAAAGGAGTCCTACAAAAAGTAAAAAATAGGTCAAATTACAAAGGATGAATATAAACAAACTAGCCAATTAGCCCACCATAAGACGGGATTTTCAGGCACATGGCTATGGGGGGGCCGGCGTGCCTGTGTCCCCGCCCTCTGGCGCCCGGCAGGCGAACGGCCACGCCCCCTGGCGCCCGGCAGTCTCTAAAGGTTGTGGACCACTGCTGTAAATAGTTTTAGTATCTGTAAATAGTCTTAAGTGTTAGGTAGTTAGCGATAGTAGTCGTCCTTTGTTCTTTCCCCCCCTTCGGGGGCGAGGAATGCCAGGGCCGCAAGGCTTCAAGACTTGTGCGTATTGTGCAAAGTTTATGCCTAAAGGGGACTCCCACGATAGCTGTCTAAAGTGCTTGGGGGAAGCCCACATGGCAGACGCTGGCAAAATCTGCAGAGCCTTTAAGCCGTGCACCAAGAGGGAGCGGGATTCCCGCCTAAAGCTTCTCCTCATGGAGGCGGCCCTGCAACCAGCATCGGTGGGGCAGCCCATGGTGAGCAGTGCACCAGTGTCGACGCGGGACACTCCAAGGCTTCGGCACCGAAGGCACCCCGGCACTGGTCCCACTCCCCAGCCCCGAAGAGGCCGAAGACGTTGTGGGGCAGATCCTCTAGCAGGAAATCCCGCACTGGCCTGCACCGTTGGCATGCATCGCCCACACGGGTCTCCCCGTGTGCCGCAATGCCAGCATTGCAGAAGAGGTCCGGTGTACCTCCAGCCAGCCCGGGACAGTTACCTGGGCACTGGCCATCGACTCCGGAGACATTTGAGGTGGCGCAGGACCTCATCAACTTGACCACCTCCCCACAGTCTTTCTCTAATGTGGGAGGGTCAAAACCGCCCATGCTGGGGGCCACGTTGGCACTGGCTGCCTCCCCAGAGCAAGTGCCCTGGTTGGGCCCTGTATCATCTGCAGTGGTGCCGCAGGCATCAGGACCGCCACCACTTGCAGGACCCTTGCCACGACCTGGACCACCTGACAGCAGGTATGTGTACAGCGGCCGCTAGGCGCTGGGGGCACTGGCAGGCACGGACTGGACTCAGCCCCCGGTCAGGGCCATGTCCCTGACTCCAGTACCGGTTCTGATCCTGGCTGCCTCTACGGTACATTACTATCCACCGGCACCGTATCCCACAGTGGCACCGCCGGAGCAGCTACCGGCATACCAGGTGGCACCGGTAATGAGGGAAGAAGT